GCCGGTCGTCGTCACGTTCATGACGGCCGCTGTTGCGTACGCCACCGACCGGTTGGACACCGAGACCGCCAAGCTCGGCGGCACCGACACAGTGAGTACGTCGAGAGTATACTTGCGCTGATAGAGCTGTGTGGCATTGGTGTAGAACGATGTCGTCATCATTTGCACCGTCAACTCGATGGGCAAATTAATGGGGCGACTAGGTAAGATGCCAAGCCACGTCGAAGTGGTCGATAGGATGTAGGCTGGTGTCGGCAGTGCGAGCGCGGGAAAGGCATCATCAATCGAGCAGTTGGTGCAGACTGTCTGCAGCGGCTGGTTGGTGACGACGCGGGCCGCCATCACCGAGTACATGTTGTTCGGCAACGCAAATGCATTTTCAATGCGCTGCATGTCGAACGTCAGAGCTTCGTCGCTGAAGACCGAGAGGACCGAGCTTGGGAGCTCGATCACGTCGATCGTGGCTGCGCGGGCCACGAGGGCGGCGCCGAGCAGCAGGAACGCTAGCACGAAGCCCACACCACGTCGCATCGTTCTGATACTTGCAGCTGTAGCAAAATGCGTCGGATATATGGAACATAAAAAATCGAACATCGAAGGATAGTCGGCCAAAGTTAGATACCCTGTCATCATACAGAGGGCGCGCCGGCAGTGGCAGGCGCTCGTCCAGCATACTAAGTTCTGTGTCTGCAGCGCGTCCACTGCGTTCTGTTGGCGTTCTGCCCTTTGAAGCGCGGTGCAATGACGTGGCGCGCGGAGCGCATCGTGTGGAATCTGACCAATCAAAACGTGCCAAATACAAAGGGCCAGGCACCGGAATGATCCGTGCAGCTAAACGCACGCCATTTTCGGCCTGTATCCAAACCTATCCCGCAATACCGCGCTCCATAGTTGCGTGCAACAAGTCCACCAAGGCGATGGTTATACATGCGTTAGGCAAGGTCTACAGACAATGTGTATGCTTGGCGGAGGCCGGAAACATCTACGAGCCAAAGGCTGCGTCGCTCTCTTCAATGCGACGGAACTCGTACGCCCCACGGCCGTCAAACTATCACAGATCATCAACCACGCGCGGTGCGACAGATAAAGCGCACCTTGAGGACATATTCGTGGTAGCTCCAGAGCGACTTGCGGTGCGAGACCGTGAAGAGCGTGATGCCTTGGCTCTTGCAGTAGTCATACATCAAGCCCTCGACGTCAACGCTCACAGCCGACGTGCACTCGTCCAGAATTGCAAACTGCGGGGCATGGAAAAAGAGTCGGGCCATGGCCACACGCTGCTTCTCGCCGCCGCTGAGAACGTCCGACCAGTCCTTGACAACGCCCCACGGATCCTCTTGGTCTAGTGCAATACAGAATTGGATATGGCATGCGTGTACAACTCTACCGTCGTCGCGCGTCACGAGGTACTCGAGCTGCACGAGTTTGAGGAGCTCGAGCAAATCGTCGTCCGACTTTTTAGCCGCTTCCATGCCTTCGAGCGTGTCTGGGTAAATGATCTGGTCACGAAGACTCCCTACGCGCCAATATGCTTAGCATTGCAAATATAAAAATGTAAAAACTCGGTACCGAGCGTCAAATACGGGCGCTGCGGGATGTAAAACAAGTTGTTGCGACTCGGCTTGGTCAACTACACCACAGACAATCCATCAAATGATTTATCCATCAAGAAACAAGCGTACCTTGCCACCAAACATGGGCCAAAGCTCGCCGAGAATACGGAAGAGCGAGCTCTTGCCGCAGCCATTCGGGCCACACACGACCACGTTCATCCCCGACGTCACCTGCACAGAGCCTCCCATCGTTCCACTTCAAATGTGTGTGGAAGGGTACCTTGAACGACAGCGACCGGACAAGCACGTCGCCGTTGGGCGTCACGAGCGGCACTTTCTACATCCAAGCACGTCAACGTATGCCGCGCAACGAGTCGACGTACCTCGAATTCGATGACGTGATCGGCGTACTCGAGGGTGCCGCTATTGGGCACGAGCGCCGACGCGTCGGCATCGTCGGGCGACGGCGTCACCATCGTGCGCGTGTACTTGCCGTTATGGAGGTCGTCGAGCACGGAGATCATGTCGGCGACGCGGCACGTAAAGCCCGCGAGGCGCGTGAGCTCGCGGCCCGAGAGCACGAGTCGCCCCATGGCTTCCGAGAGCTTCATGAGCATTTTGCCCGACCGAAAGTAGTCCTGCATGCGGTCGGCGTGGGACGAGTTGAGATGGCGCGGGTCGTTCAAGTCCAAGAATGGCCGCGAGACGAGCACAAAGCCCAGTACCGTGGCAAAGTACTGGCAGCGCATGAGACCATAACCACACAATTGAGCCAAATTACCTTGGCAATGACGCTGTCAATGACGCTCATCGAGAAGCGGAATTGCTGCGACTGGCGAATGAGTGACACGAGTGCGTCAAACGACGATTGCAGGATCGACGCCTCGCGCTTGTTGCCATTGTAGAACGCAATTTCTACGCAAAAGATATTTTCAACCAAAAGCGAAAAATGCAAAAAAAAAAAAAAAATGTACCTTCGCCGTGGGTGATGAGGCGCGCGTTAATGTACCGGTACGCGCCCTCGAGCCGCTGCTCTGCAATGGTGAAGCGGCCTGTGGGTTGACGCAGCCACGTGAGGAACATGCCCGAGCCCACCAAGTAGCTCAACATCGTCATAGGGCCTACATCACCATCAGATACGACCGGTACAAAGGCGTCATACCGGCAAGACCAATCGTGCCCGTGAGCTTGACGGCGTAAATGCCAATGTCAAGAAGGGGCTTGGTTACGTTCGAGTAGAGGTCGGCGACCGACGTCGCAAAGCGCTCGACGTCAACCTAGGACAACCATCCTCACAACGACGCATCGTGACTCGGGACCACTGTACCGTGAGCAGCTGGTCGGGGTTGGAGATGCGTGCGTCGAGGTTCGACACCTTGTAGTACGTGTACTCATGGAGGTACTTGGTGTACAGAAAGGTCGAGAGGCGCGTCCGGAACCGAAGGCTCAGCTCCGTGTGGCCATACTTGAGGAGGCAGTTGACGCACGACACGGGCAGCATGATGAGGAAGAAGCGCGACAAGTGGTGCACAAAGTCCTTGGACGACCGCCCAATGCTACATGCATCCTAAGCGCATGCATGCAATTCATGGTCGTACATGGCGCGCTCGATGGACGTGATGATCTGGAGGATCGTAATGTCAAACGACGTGCGCATCGCAAGGAGCGCGGCGACGCCAATGGCATACGCGACTTCGGGCGTCCATAGACCCGGGATGATGATGCGGAAGAGGCGCATGAAGCGATCGAGAAACTCCTACATGGCACGTGAGCGGCGACGGCCGGCGACACGACGAGCGCGACCTTGTTGATCGCGACCTTCTTCTCCTGGCCCTTGGACTTTTGCGGCGAAAACTGCGAGTTGAGCTCGCACGCGGCCTTGGCATCCTTCTGGCCCTTCTCCCGGATCACAAGCGCCAGCCCGATAAACGTCAGCGCGGACGCGCCTGCGAGCTTGCTCTGGACGCCCATGCTGATCGACCGGCCAATTCGTCAAAAGAACTGTGGCAAGGCGTCGGCTGGGTGGCAAATGCCGGAAATAGCATCTTATTGGTGGCAAATGCGCCACAAATACCACATTCAAGCAAATCTCGTGCCATCGCACATGTTTGCTCGACAGGCTTCGGCGCACACATCGCTGCCATGTGAATACGAAACAAACAGAATTAGCTAAGCCCGACTTGAAGTGAAGTCGACGCTTTGATGACCCAATGGCGCGCCTGCAATGACGTAGACGAGTATAGTAAAGGGCCGCCAGTAGTATCGCTAGCATCGGCGGACTCTTGCGAAGATTTTGGTTCCGTATTTCTGACGCTGTTGATGGGCCCCGTGGTCGCAACTTTGTACCTGCTGTTGTCGTCGGATCTAGCTTGGAGGAACGACACCGATGGGACTCTGAGTTTGCCCTTCGCGTGCAGCGACAGCATCCAGCATGGTGCAGAGATCCAATCATGAGGGACATCCAGAGACGCCACCGACAGGATATTGTTGTTGTCGGGTGTTTTGTTTAGTCGTTCCTAGTAGGTAGTACAAAAATACTAGACGAGAGAGTCTACTGCGTGTTGGTGACGGCTAGTAGGCCGACGGGAAAGCGTTGGTGAGCGTCACGAGGCAGAAAATGACCGCCGTGCCGAGGAGCGCGCCCATTTGTGTTGTGAAGCCAGACCATTGGTATGCGAGCTTGTGGTTCACGTCGACATCTAGTCGGCAAATGCGTCCGATGCTAAAATGACATTTCGCTGTTGTACCTTTGAGCACTTGGTACAAACTTGTTTGAGTGAACGCCGAGAGCGACGTGTAAAAGCAGTTGGCGATCACCACTGCACAAGTCGTAAACACACGATAGCGCACCTAAGAGATATGACGTACCCATGACACCGCCGGCCGGCGCGTCACACCACAGCGGCGCCTTGTACGAAGCCCATACCGTGAGCCAGAGCTACAACGGATTGGAACATCGGTATCATCTCGGTGCACGCAACAAACGCACAGCAAAGAAAAGGGCGGCAGCCGTAAACACTTCGACCTTCTTGATGCGGTAGAAGCCCGCAATAAAGCGTGCGGTCGGATCACAAAGCATACCCAAGACCGACGTCCACTTCATCACGACCGGCGAGTGCTAACACGAGTACATGAGACGTCTAAAATCCGAAAAGCCAAGCCGCATGATGCACCTTGTACTTGCCGCCGAGGATCGGCAACACGGATGGAATCACCGCAAAGCTAAAGATGGCCAGGAGCCATTGGCACAAAAGCGTCTACGAACGACGAGCAACGTGAGCATCGTGTCGATAACCAATACTGTCCGAGGTCGTACGCGCCAAATCGCCTTGAGAACGGTCGAGTGGGCCATGTGCTAAGTTGGTATATAAGCCATTTAGCAAGAGAGCGACGATCAAGTATGTACCGGCTGCTGGAGCAACATTTCTTGGTCGGCAAAGATCTCGACCGACGTTGTCTGGCGCCGAAGGTAGGCAAACGAAGCAAATGAGATGAGGAAAGTGAAGGCTAGCACACACGCCGCTGCCATGAGGGCGACATGCAGCGTGACAAGAATCGTACCGCCACAGAGAAAGGCCACGCCGACCGAAAACGTCATCGGGTCACTCCCGACGTCCTGGATGATGGCCAAGACGCCGGCAATGACGGCGCCGAGGCTCTCGCCAGTCGCGAGGGCGCTATGTATTGGATACGATGAGCTTCCGCTTCGCATCACATCGTTGTAGTACCTTGTAAACATGACGGGGTACGTAGCCGCAAACGGGTAAAAGACGACCGTCGACGTGGCACTGACGGCGCCGCCACAGAAAATCATGGCAAAGAGAGCTACCCATGGTTGGGATGCATGCTAGATAGCGAAGAGGGGACGTACCAGTACTGTGCAAATGACCGCCAATGACAGTCTTGGTGTCCCAAAAGATCGACAACAATACTGCACACGCAAACCATAAGTGGCAACGTCGCACAAGATCGTCACGTACTGCACGCGATCATGCCGAGCACAAGGAGGCCCCAGATCATGGTCGGGATCGAAATCAGCTGCTGGCGGCTGTTGAAGAGCATGTAGAGCAGCGGAAAGATGTTGGCCGATTGCAACGCCACAATCTACACGCCGTCGATCCCATGCCCACTCGAAAGCGGTGCGCGGTCGTACCACATAGGCGCCGATCGAGTAGCCTTCGGGCGTTTTCTAGTCGACGTCTCGTGTGTGCTCACTGGCAAGCGAGTTTATACCTGCATGAGGGCGGCAAACTCGGCAAAGACAACTATCGAAGCGTTCAGTCGTGATACGAGGATGAATATGCAGAAGGAAGGTGCGTACAGTCGGAGATAACCCAGGACCCAAGGCCAAAGCCGATAAAGGCCAGGTACGTATGGCGTGTCGAGTGCACCTTGAGCTCCGACATGGCAGGTTTGAGATTGAACGGCAACTCGCACCCGTCCAGCCGCGCACGTTTTTAGCCCGCAGCAACCAAAAAATACGCCGCCAAATTGTGTCGCTTTACACAATTCGTTGGTCGCGTACTATCTTGCTATTTGTATTGATTTTGAAAAAGAAAAATGTGCCGTTGAAAATGCGGCGACAGATTGCTGCGTTGGTAACGTAAACAGCGCGATGATTGGCGGTTTGGCGCCGATTTCTGAAAACCCGCAGACTTTCCTTCCGATCATGGGTCATGATGGATCACGCGGATCACCCAAGAAATCATCGCCCTTACTAGAATGAGAGAAAATCAAGGAACCAAGTTGAATGCACATTGCGGACATCGCGATACGTTATGCTACTTTATAGATTGGTGCTTGCGTTGTTCACGTGGTTGTGGAAGAAGAATGGACTGACGTTATACGGGACGCTGACCAATCATGACCGACCGATGTTCCTCATTTTTGGCCAATCAAAGCTACAAAGGAATGGAATAGCATGTACATTGGCTGGAATATCGACATAAAAAAGCGAATCGAAGCGCTTAAAATTGTTGCAGTTTGTTTGATTGGCCAAAAATAGGAAGTATGTGGTCAATCAGCCGGCCATTTTGCCTTTGGACGATCGCTCCCAGACGTCCTTGGTCCTTGGCATATCGTTAGTACAGTATCTGGAGCAATGATTCTGGTCGTCACAGCGCTGATTTGTAGTCGCAGCCACCGACAACCGTGCCGTCCAAGCTCAACAATCGACAAGAGGTGGTACAGCGACAAAACAAGCGCAGAAGAAGTATGTTCCAACACGCCACTGGAACATTCAGGGCTTGCACGGTTGTCGTATCGCATTCGTCATGGAAGTTGCTTCTTCAATTCATGTCATTCAAATCTTCTAGAATGTTTCACGCCGTCGAAAAGACATTTGTGAACGCCACAAGGCCAAATGTAACGACTGTGCCCGAGAGTGCGCCCATTTGTGTCACAAATCCCGACCACTGGTACGCTACCTTGACGTTCTCAACATTCATTTCTACACAAAGCATGAGAACGACACACGTGGCAACCGAGACTATACCTTGAAGGACTTGGTACAAGCACGTTTGCGTGTACCCTGCCAACGACATGTACGTGCAGTGCAAGAGAACCACTACGAGTCCATTTGAGGCAAGCTCATCCTAGATGGATGTCGTACCGACGATGCCTCCATTGGACGTATGGCTCCAGAGCGGCACACGACTGGAAGCTTGGATGGCCATGCAGAGCTACAATGCACATATTGTCCTCCAGCATGATGTATTTGAATAGCAATACGTACGCCAGTCGCCAGCGCCAGTAGCGTGAGGAGGCCGACCCGACGCGCATGGTAAAACCTAGAAACGCATTATTCGATATGACTGTGCAAGGCCATTCCGTACGTGGTGAGGAATCGGGCGAGGGGGTCACAGAGCATGCCGAGGACTGAGGCCCATTTCAGCACAACTCCACTGTGCTAGACGAGTCGTTTTGACATCAACCAAACGTTGCAAACTGTCTCGTACCATGTACTTGGAGCCGACGATTGGCAACACCGAGGGAACGACCGCAAAGCTAAAGCAAGCCAGAGCGAATTGACATGCGAGCGGCTAGCGTGCCAGGGTTAGCCACATGTCATATACAGACGCGAGGTAATACCTTGCCAATGACGCGAACGACGTGCCAGTCTTCTTGACACTAGTTTAGCAAAACACGATGCAGCTTCCGTCGACACGTTGTGACTACCGTATACGATTGCGTCGGATCTAGCAGCCACGCGCGCTCATTTGAGAGCTCCGGTGCAGGACGCCCGTGCGTTCGCAGGTAGCCAAAGGCCGCCATCGACACCACAAACACCACAGCTGCATGTACATCTCAGTATCCAAAACGACCAGCGATATAGTGTACCTGCGCATGCAAAGTAGGAGCCGATCGAAAAATACATCTCGGGGCTGCCCACATCTTGCGCGAGCGCGAGAAAGCCAGCGATAACAGCGCCGAGGCTTTCGCCCGTCGCCAAGGCACTAGTCGCAGCGTTTGCAGCTACGGGACCACAGCGATCGAGACGCACCTTGTCGAGATGGCGGGGTACATAGATACGAACGGGTAAAAGACGACGCTCGACGTGGCGCTGACAATGCCGCCACAAAACACAAAGAAGAGCAACGCTAAAGCCACCATCAAGACGAGTCCGTTGGGTGCAGAATTGTACCCGAGCTACGGGGTTCGCCAAAGAGACTTGACGTCATGTGCCACGTCGTTGCCAAGAGTACTAGAAGGTCGCATCACACACAGCCACTAGAGAAAAGGGAGGCGTACGACAGGCCATCACACCAAAGGCAAGCAGTAACCAAATCATGGTTGGGATCGAGACGCGCTGCTGTGAGCTGTTGAAGAGCATGTACAGCATTGGGAAAACGTTGGCCGATTGCAGCGCAGCAATCTAGTACATGCCGTAAGAACAATACGTACACGTTGCTAGCCCAAACCACGTAGACGCCAATCGCCGGTCCTTCTGGCGTGTGCTATAGCACGCGCTAAGCATGGCGGTAGACATGGGCAATGCACCTGGACGAGCGCGGCAACCTCTGCAAAGACAACTACAGCCAAGGGTACATGACATGATTTCGGCCAGCGAAGGACGTACAATCGGACATGACCCACGAACCAAGGCCGAGGCCGAGGAACGCCACGTAGAAGCGCGGGCTCTCGTACACCGTGGAGGCCAATGGATCGTCGGTGTGCTTCGTCGTTGCCATCGGCGCCCTTCTAAAATAACGCGGGTGATGACTGTGCACAACCGTAACGGGGGGGTCTACCCAAAACGCACCAATACGATACATGGGGAGGGGGCCTAAACATTTTCCACACACTATTTCCGTCCACTTGAAGGTGCCAAAGCGCACTTGATCGAAATACCGCCCATTTCCATTTTCATTTTGCTGCTGGACGGGCGAGGACAGCATGGCGGGAAAGCGCAAGGCGACGACGACCGAGGACAAGCCCGCAGCGAAGCGTGCGACGCGTGCGTCCAAGAAGGCTGGCGACGCTACGGGCGAAGCGCCCGCGCCGGCGCCCAAGAAGGCGCAGCCGGCCGGCTGGGACTTTTTGAAAGCTCCCAAAGGCGACCAGCTCAAGAAGCCGGCCAAGAAAGCAGCGGCGCCGGTCGCCGACGCAGAGTTTCCGACGCTCACGGACGACGACCTCAAGGCTTTTGACGGTATCATTCCCGCGCCGTCATCGTCGGCGCAGTACCGCGTTCTCGCCTGGTACGTCGTTCGCGCTTGCTACCTCGCATCTGACACCGCCCGTATCTTGGGCCATAGGAACGTCAACGGGCTCCGTGCAGTGCTCAAGAAGGACAACTACTTTCGCGCGTACATTGCACGTGAAGATCCCGACGTACTGTGCTTGAGCGAGACCAAGATCGACGACGCGTCGCTCGGTGCGGTCCGCAACATTCTGCCGCTGTACGAGTACCAGTACTGGAAGTGTGCGACGCAAAAAGGTATGGCCTCGAGAAATTGCCTCCAGCTACTTAATAAACTCCGTTCTGTAGGGTACTCTGGTACGGCCGTGTTCGCCAAGACCAAGCCGCTCAGCGTGCTCGACGAAATCGTTGTCGATGGCCAAGTCGACGACGAAGGCCGCTTCCTCGCGCTCGAATTTGACAACTTTTGGGTCGTCCACACCTACGTACTCGAGTCTAATCGCTTGCGATATCTCATCGCACGCCCACCCATAGGTGCCCAACGCAGGCCAAAAGCTGGACCGGTACATACACAACAACACCAACGAGCGGTTCAGATACACCATAGGCTCGAGTACCGCACCAAGAAGTGGGACACGGCTCTCTTTGCCAAGCTCAAGGAGCTCGAACAAGCCAAGCCCGTCGTGTGGTGTGGCGACTTGAACGTCGCGTACGAAGAGATCGACATCCACGACCCCAAGGGCAACGTACGTTCCGAATGCAGGCCAACGATACGATCGGTCTCTGGAATAGCGCAACAAGTCGGCGGGCTTTACGGACGCCGAACGCGAGAGCTTTGGCTCGCTCCTTGCCGACGGATTCATCGACACGTTCCGGTCCAAGTACCCCGAGACGCAAACGTTCTCATACTTTTCCTACCGGTTTGGGGCGCGCGAGAAGAACAAGGGCTGGCGCCTCGACTACTTTGTCGCCTCACGCGCGCTCTTGCCGCACGTCGTACGTCCCGTGGCTCTACTTCTCTGCAACGGACCAGCGACGTTGTGTAGGAGGACTCTGCGATTCGGTCGGCGATCACGGGTAGCGACCACTTGCCCATTGCCCTCACCTTGAGCGGCTTCGACGCCTAGCCATGGCTGCAACTCGACAGTAAACTCGACGTCAAAATGCATTGGTCCATCGAAACTCCATGCAGGGGATGCATCGCTCTCGGTGGCTCATAGATAGCACAGTAGTCGTGGGTCTCACGCGCGCGACGCCGAGAGGAGGGAGATCGTGCTACCGTCCTTCGCATCGAATCGAGGCGCAGGGTCGCAGTAGCGCTGTCGCTTCGAATCAGTAGCAATCTCGTCATAGTCCTCGGGCAGGCCAAAGGCGTCGTCCGTTGCGTCGTACGTAACTCGATGAGACGCGCGATCGACTCGCAGCGGTACGTCGGATTCGCATTGGGGTACAGCGCAGTAGGCAGCGCGCGGGAAGAGGAAGGCTTCGAGGCCGTCTTCCTGCACCTCGCGCCACACGCTTGTGCAAAGCGCAATCACGCGGTCCATATTAGGCGACGCAGGCAATGAAGATACCGCCACGAGACGGCCACAGGCGTTTCAACCGACGATTATCCAAGCGAAATCTTCAACTATCCATGTATCCAGAATGGCACT